TTTCTTTCATCTCTTATGGCATATACCCTTCTGTTTCTGTACCCCAATATTGCAAACGTAGACTGTGTCATTAGGTTCAATTAATAATCACTCAAGACGTGGTCCCTATGATATGTGCCAGAACGCATTTCAGAACGATAGCAGTGCTTAACAAATAGTCAATGCAAAGTAATCGATATGCATCTTTAACACTAGAGCCATCACACATTCACATGGGTTTCCAGGAACTAACGTGTCAGAAACGTGCTCGCTCTTGTCTGGACAAGTCATGTTGAACAAGCTCTCGACGTACGGTCCAGTCCAGTCAATCCCACTTATCCTTTGGCCACAACTCAAGCTCACCTACTATTAACGTTTTTTTATCCTGAAGCTTTTACGCCATCTTCTCGCCCAGAAAGGCATGAACGCGTACATTCATTTTACTTTACCTTTTTCATAATCTGACTGTTGTTTTCTTTCGCAAATCACAAGTACTTAATAGTAAGCTGCAACATTGGGCTTCAGTAGCTGTGGAACGTGCAATGTGTGTAAAACGTGCGAAAACTCTATCTCGTTAGGAACATTTGCTAATCTGATATCGCCGAAAGTTGTCGAAAGCTTTTCCTGGGCGATCTTGTGAGAGCAAACATCGTGTCGGGAAACAACATTGTGCACGTTTCATGCAAGATTGGAATGCAAGTGATAAACTGCTCTTCTGGTGGCTTCATTACATGTGTTCGTATCGGTTAACACGTTCCGGACCGCGTGACACACATGGTGTGTCATACTTTTTCTCTCTTTCTTTTACTTTTTTTCTTTCATACGGTCTATTTGGCATCTTATTCATGCTCCGAAGTTATCAGAACACGTTTTTCAGGCACAGAATACACATATTTCATAGAAAGTGAAGAAAGATGAATTGCTGACTTATCGGTTCGAAAAATAACGAAATTATGCGGAGAACCTTGAACAACGGTGGTCCGGAATGCGTTACCAACAATTCTCGCCATTAAGTAATTCGTGCCGTGCATAGCCAGATCCGCACTCGCAGAAAATGTAAAATTTAGTAAGACGAATTCGCTAGACAAAGTTGTCCAAGACGCATGACCTTACAGTGCTATAACATTTTCATGCTACAAAGCAACCACTTGCACCGCCTATTAACGCGCGTGTTGCCTGTAGCGTCATAAGGCGCTCTCATGCGCTCGTCACAGAAAACAAAGATCAATTTTTATGAAATCTGATCGTTCTGCTTCTGTTTTACATTTTTCTTCAAAGACAAGCAGCAGCAATAGCAGTCCATTTCGCAGGGCAAGATGCATTTTAGCAGCACTCCAATCACTTGCAACTGTGCGAAAAATCGTCGTGTATTGCCCACCTAATCCTAGTTTCGTACAAAGCGTTTTAAAAAGCTATTTTGAGCTTTTGTTCAGTTTTTTGAAGCATAGTCTTTTCGCCGTTCGATTTTCTTGGCGCGGCGCCGGTCCCATCCTTTTTTTCCTTCGACAAGTAACAAGACTGTATCTGTCGTTCGTACCAGCCACCATTTACAGTCCTCATCATTAGGTACAGCCGTGCCGCGCTGTGACGCGGCTCGGTGACGGTGAATCAGCTGATTTCGATGGAATTCGGCTGCAAATTCCCACTTTTTCAGCTCTTCAAGCTTCTAAAGTGGAAGGTGAGTTATTCTGAACAATTTTGAATTGTACTGGCTCTGATTTCCTTTATTTTTATGTCGATTATTATGCTCTTTCCTTGTATTTTGCCTTATTTCAGGCATTTATTCAAATGGCTTACATTCTTTCAGATTCATTCAGAGTCAGTACAATTCTAAATTGGTCAGAATAACTCACCTTCCACTTTAGAAGCTTGAAGAGCTGAAAAAGTGGGAATTTGCAGCCGAATTCCATCGAAATCAGCTGATTCACCGTCACCGAGCCGCAGCAGCGTAGCTGTGCGCCCCGACAATACGTAATGAGGGGGACTGTATTGTCGTTTATCCGCTCCAATGATTAGCGAAAAGCGGGGAGGTGGCGCGCTAGACCCAGCCCCACTGGCACGCCTGCCATCCTCAGAGAGCTAGGCTATACCTGATGGCAAATCCCAGCCCTAGACGTTCAACGGTTTCTAAGATTGACGGTGAATGAGAAAAGACAGTACCTCATCATCTCGATACGCGCCAACACCGAGGTTCATTTTATGTGGATTTGTGTCCCGGTTGAACGCTTCTGTGACACCGAGAATCGCATCTGGAGGACCCATTTCGACATGATTCCACCACGTCCTGTAATGAGCAGCAGCTATATCTTGAAGGAGTCTGAAAACTAGTTCACAGCTTCTGTTCCACCAACTAGGCTGAGGCCAACGAGGCTATGAACTGGTTCTTGTGAATGAGGATTTTCAGTAGCCACAAAATACCTGGAACTTCCGCACATTCGCTTCAACTATAGTGCTTCTGATTTTCTTTAGCTGCTTTGGGGTGCACACTCAACCATTGTACCTTCCTCACTGTCACGCCCCCCCCTCCCAGTGAGCGATCATCGAGGGTTTCACGCCACTACCCACGCCACAACCTCCTCAGCCCCAACATTTGAACGCTCTTTGAGGCTATTTCTTCTAATTTTTGTCCTAATCAGTCAGGATTAATGACTTGAGCAAAGACTCTTTATCATGTTTTCATGCACTGTTATCACAGGGCCACAGGTGCAGTCAAAAACGCTCTCGTCAACAAGTCATTGTGAGATAACAACTGAAAAACAAGCCCAAACCAGTACTGTTTTTGTACTGAATTCATGGTGACGAACTTAGAACCGTGCAGGGCTCAGCATCAGAGGACAGGGTCAATGCGTGTGTGGGCAGGGGGGGGGTGGTGGACTTGAGCGATTTAGTCGCGCGATTCGAGAGATGTAAGACTATGACGAACTACGTTCCAAACCATTTTCCACACTCCTCCGGTTGCAAATCGACGGGTGCAGATGGTCGAAACATTTTATCGCATTCATGATAAATTGCCTTTCAGTCATTGCAACAATCCAAAAATTACCGACAGAGCATGGTTGGTTGCAGTGCAGTATAAACGCTACCCAAGACTCAGCCTTTTGGGGAAAAGTAACACTACCTCGTCGAGAGGACGCAGACCAGCGCGATCTTAATCGCGCCGCAGCGTGGGTCGTTTTTCCGTTTCTAAGTACCTCACCCTCACAAGGGAGCAGACAAACTGTATTGGGAAGAAAAACAGGTTTATTTCGATAGAGACGTTTCGTTTCAGTACTACTTTCCATTCACCCTCTATACACTACATTTTCCTGAAGATGAGGAGGGCGTGGCTGCGGACTTCGTTTGGACATCGTGAAGGATGCGCTTTCCTAGATTGTGCTTAGACAATCGTTATTCTGTACTCTACTGGATAAAGGCACGATTAAACTTGTCCCACAACGGTATTATACCTCAAGAGCGCAACCGCCGCCAAGTTAAACGAGAGTGCGTAGCCACGCCCACTCTACCACCGGGATATGAAGTACAGCTCAACTATTCAGGCTTCGAAAATGACAATCGCTTTGCACAACTACTCATAGAGAAACAACAATCAGAAGAACCATATCAGGTCAGTGCTGTCACTTTTAGTCTTCAGAGAACATGTAATGTTTACTGTATGTCAAGTAAAAAAAGCTAGAAAAAAACTAACTTTGTTCGGATTGAGTTCTTCAGCACCAGTCTAGCCGCCCTCATGATTGTTCACCTGAAAAGTGCATGTTAAGTGCAAGCATGAAGGAATCATTAGGATCAGCATAATACGAGCGAGAAACATTGCAAGCGCCTCAAATTTACAAGAAAAAAATAAAAGGTATAAATAAAAATTATATAATTATAAATAAATGAATATTTCAATTTAATTATTAGTTATGAATAAATAAATATCCTGAGGGCAGATGAGCATCGATTCTTCTAGAAACAATGTTCCGGGGAAGCCCTAGGGATGGGGTTGGCCTTTGCTCAAAATTCATATACCAAAATTGGATGCTTACGCGTCCATTGAAGGAAATTTTCGCAAAATTCGACTTCCTTGGAAATTTCCTACTCCACCACAATCCACATTGTATCCCCATCACCATCTTCTTAATTTTCCCGCAACTTCCCTGCTCCTTTTTCCCGCGTTTTTCAGAAACAAAGTCAACCGTAAGAGCGAAGGGGGGGAGGGGGTAGCGCACTTGAAACAACAGAAACCGAGCCAACATAAGACATTTTTTCAGGGACAAATACAAGGCCTCGCTGGGAATCCGCAAAGTACGACGTGCCCTGTTGAGACTCCTTTACACTTTGCTGCTCCGCTCCTAAAAAGCCAACTTATCCAGCCAACTTTTGATCAAAACCTTTCTTCCAAGGTATACCTGACCAAACCCTTTCCCGGAGGTAGACAGGCCTCTTGGACACGAATATCACGTTCATCTGAAGTGAAAGTGCTTAGCTTCCGTACACCTGTGCCATCGCCATGGGTGCTCTGGTGCTGGTGCCGACGTACCAAGTGTTTTCACGCCAAGTTAGAGCAATTTTCGGGTTCATGGGTCAAAATCCCCCCTGAAGAACAAGTTTTCAACAAATCTGGTGCCCTGAACTATTTTCGTACCGATGCCTGTGGACCGGAGGCGGTTTTTGGTCAAGTGGACGAGATCGCGTTCAGATGGTCCTGGTGCCAAACCTATCCAGTCAAATACCGGGGGCAAAATTTCAATCCATACCTGGCCAGGATTTCAGAGAGTGGGGCGATAAAGACCAAATAGTGCCTGCGTTTGAAATCCCTCCAATTCTTCCGAAAACTAAATCTTTCTCAGTATTTCTTTGCCCACAAGAGTCCAGAAACACTTTTCTCGTCGCGTCATTTGGGTGAAACTTTCGAAGGAGAGAAAATGAAAGAAAGAGTAAAGAAGCCAGGGATTCTGAAAGAAAGGAGGGATGAATTATCAAGCGAAGGACGCAGAATAGCTCAGAAGAAACTGCGTTGTACTCACTACTGGATTAATGTATGGTAATTCCAATTTGGGGCCCATGTGACAGCGAACGCTGTATGTCTCGGTCTGTAAACAATACTGATGCTGACCGTACACGCTTATATGCAGCCGTTGAAAAAAAAACCAAAAAAAAATGTCGGAGGCCGTTCTTTGAAGAGGAGTGGAGTGTTCTTTCATCACGTCGAGAACAGCGTGCAGTATCGCTTTGAGAATTCCATGAGGGGTTGTTTTGACGATGGTCATATCTGGCTTTCATAGAAACTTTTTCGACGTTTGACTGGTTTTTTCGGAGCAACGATAAAATTCCTTAGGGTACCCCCCTCCCCCTAATTGGCCCCGTTGCAAGTGCACTACACAACCAGCATTTCTGATAGCTGAAACAAGTCACCAAGTAACTGATTGGTGAGGGCCTCCCTCCCTCCCTCGCTCCCCCTCTCTTACCGGTCCATACTATTACCTTTGCCCGCCAAAGTCTCAAGTACTGCTGTGGTGAATGTCTATATTATATTATTAATGGTGTACAACGCTCAGAAGCGCTTGAAAGGATAGCAAATGCACGGCGCGAGCAGCGAAGCTTGGAACGGCTATCGTTCGATCCAATCAAGCCTTCCATCCCACAAAGCCCGTCGTATGGAGATTCCCACCAGTAAAAAAAGGGGCGTACTTGCTGAGAAAAATATTTTAAGTTGTTGATTTTCCCTTTTCACGTAGGCGCCCAATCCATTTTGGGGAAGAAACGGAGACCTTATGGAAATTTTTCCCGGAAAGTGGTAGAAATTCGGGCACATTCAGGAACATAGTAGGCATGAGTGGGGCACTATTCACCTTTACTGCCCCAATAAATTGAGTCCACTTTCAGACCGACTTTTTTCTCCGTGGACAGATTTTGCTCAAATGTTGTCTCCTGGGGTATTTTGACCTCCTGAATACGAATATGACATTCGCTCAGCCCGAAACTTCCTGGCGCCCGCGCCACAGGCGCCGGTGATTTGGGGTATTTTGGCGCCAGCGCCTGTAGCGCGGGCGCCAGGAGGTTTCAGCCGAGCGGATGTGATATTCATGTTCAGGAGGTCAAACTACCCCAGCAACAAATTTTCAGCCAATTCTGCCAACGCAGAAAAAAGTCGGTCAAAACTGGCCTGTTTTCGGAAGATTGGGGCAGTAAAGGGTAAATAGTGCCGCAAAATTTTCCCCAATGGCAGGATCTGTCCTGATTGATCAACAAGGAAACCTTTGTTAACCTTTTTTATTGCTAAAGACAAATGCGAATATATTTCAGTGAATAACTAGCAATAAGGTTCTCTTCCACCCGTCTTCAATGCCGCTTGTTTCTCTACGAAAGAATAGCGCCATGATTGCAGTAATTGCCCAAAGTACTTGTGTGCGTGTGCTTTCAGCCAACAATAAACTGAGGTACTCAGTGAGTCCTGCAAGGCTGAATCAAGTCAAAATACCTTTTATACTAGACCTTCACTTTTTCAGCTGCAAGAACGCACCAATGAGGAGAACACAATGCTCCAAGTGACTCCGCTTATTGTAAGGGCAGAGTCACGGGGGCACCACTGCGCTTTCCTCAGTGGCGCTCCTCCACACGTCTTCGAGGAGGCGGCCTCGCCCGCCGAGAGAAGGGAGATTCTTCCAAGAAAGGGCTTATTAGAGGCACACTCAGACCTGATTCCACTCAACCAGTGGAATCAGGTCTAAGTGTGCCTTTAATAAGCCCTTTCTCATTTGTAAACCATGTGAGGCGTTAAGTATGCTAGTACAAGGAAGAGCGGGTTATATGGAGAAATATAAGTCAAACCGACCCCCAAACAGGTCAGAAAGCGAGCGATCCATTAACAGGTATAGTTATGATGATGGTCGGTCTTATGTATATCTTCTCAGTCTGCGAGGAAAGAGGGAGGAAACAGCCCCACAGCGTCTTTACTTTTCCAGGCTGAAGTTTAGGCTCAGAGAAGGCATTGCTTCTCTGCGAGACTATTCCTCAGCAACTCTGGTCTTCTGCGCTCTAAGCTTGAAGCTTTTTCGGATGAAGAGAAACAGAAACCCTTCTTTGGTGATCCCTCAATCCGCCAGCGCCCCTAACAAGGGAGGTCTTTCAGGTCGTGGCGCGCTTTTCAGAAATGGTTTGTTGCATGTTGTAGGGGTCCATATAAGGATCACAAAAATGGGTTTCGTTTTTGCTATGCGCTTCTGGGAGGTCAAAAAATGGGTGAAGTTTGCTGGGGAAAAGCGATTTTGAACCATTTTTCTAGGCTTTTTTTCTATCTCTAATGTTGAGTATGCACAGCAAATGAGACCTTCGTCGACACTGCATCGAAAACAATACAAGTCAAGGTGAAAAAGTACTTTATTTGGCACACAGTGAGGCAGCATTGTAGTTTCTCAAGTGATTCTCGCAGCATCCCAACCCGCAGTTAGGGAGGGGGTATTCAGAGCCATGTGGCGCCAAATGACCTAGGTAGAAATTGTAAAGGTCAGAAGCGTGAT